ACTGGAGCTAGTACCAGCAGACAGCTAGCTGCATAGCATAGTTAGCATAGCACAAAGAGTGATTACTGGAGAAACTCACTCTAGCTCTACATAGGTCGGTCTTGTTAGGCTAACATATCAAACCTCCCTTGTTCTAGTGTAGAGCCACCTAAAATAGCTTTTAGAGATGCTGGATCTTAACTTCATCATTATTTAATCAGTTAATCTGGTTCGTGACGAACTGTTTTTGAGTCCAGTTGCCAGATAATCAGTGGAGACAAACAAATGTGATGTAATTTAGCTTTAGCATTAACTTTCATGGTGTGGGAAATTAAATTTAGCTACTGTTAAATGGGCCTTAACAAGATGTCTCCTTGTGTTTCCAGCCTTTATGCTAAGCTAAGCTAACCTGCTCAGCTGCTTACTTGCAACGGAGTCCATACACACATCATGAGTGGTCTTGATCTTTTCGTCGAACTCTTGGCATAAATAAATGTCTTTCCCCCCCAAAAAGTGACCTGTTCCTTTAAATAATTGCTCGTTAACAACCAGAAATGGCGCTTGTCTCAGAAGTCCCACTTGTGGATATACAGTACAATTGTCTGTTGTCTGGTTGTTGTGTGTTTACCACCTGCAGCTGATTTGTATTGTTTAAGTAAAACAACCAGTGTTGCTGCTGACCATTTTGCCTTTGGACTGCTGAAGTTAGGCAGCACCGTGGTGGCCATGTGACCGGTCAATCAGTAACCCATTGGCCACTTTAGCACGTGTGTTTATATGTGTGTGTGTGACTCGGCGGTCAAAGAACTTCAAATGACAACAACCAGTCATAACCAACGCTATCTTTGATGACAGTGCAGTTATGAGTAATTCAGAACTCATTGCTAAGCTCTGTTTAGATACCTGAGTGCACACACGAGCGTCCGAAGCGAGTGTGCGGCTCTTTGCTTCCATTTTTATTGCATAAACATGCAGAAGCTAACAGAGCACTCCTATGAGTGAGTCTTTGAACATACATGTGTCGTGTCTGTGTTTACCGGTGAATCGGAGCTGCTGTGACGCCCACGTGTGACGTCACCAGCTCAGGTTTTTCTCTTCAAATAAGGTAACCAAACCAGGCTTGGAGCAGAAACACAGAAGAAACGCTGTGTTTTACAGCGCTGCCACTCCCCGAATTACTAAACCCATTCCACCATGGCTTCCTGTTCCTGTAATGTGTAAAGACACCACAAGTTTCTCTTTGCTCTCGACCTAAGAAGGCCATCATCATCGACTAATTCACTCCCACTACCGCCTCCTTTTCTAATCTCCGTCTACATATGTGGTGTCTTCTCTTCTTCCTTTTTCGGTCAGTCTTATCATTACGAAAATTGCATAATTTGTATTCATAGCAGTGGGGTTAAAAACAGAGGCGTTCTGGTGTGTGCATGGGTGTGTGTTTGCGGGGGAAGGGGAGAGGAACTATGAAAGGCCTGTTGCTAATGGGTGAAACCGGCCATAGGGGGTGGACATAAATACCATCTCTATTATCACACGCACACGCACACACACACATACAGCTAAACGTCTGAGTCCAACTGCTACTGGACTGCAGCTCAATACAAAAAACATTAGCTGCAATTAGCCTTGATTGAGGTTGAAAGCAAATGTGGACGTCAGAAGAGGTACAGACAGCGGAGAGGGCTGAGACGAGAGCCAGAGGAGTGAGTGAAGCAAAGATGGAAATGTAGAAGATGATGAGAAGCAGTTGGTATCATCTGGGAAATGCATCTCGTTAGTCACCTCCAGGAGTTTCATTCTTGCATCACTGCATGTGTGTGTGGTGTAATAGTGTGAATCATAGGTCACGCTGAATGTATAGTTTCACAGTAACGGGGTCTAAACGGTTCGATATTTCAGAAAATATGTGAAATCAACTTTAAAGTTCTGGGACTGATACAGGAACAGCTGGAGACAACAGGACAGGCTCTGTCCAAAGGTGACAGCATTTACCTGCCACAGCACCCCGTACCTGTCTGATTATTGTTGTATGCTTTGGTTTCACCCATTCAAACAAAATAATTCTAAAAATGACAATGTGTTGTTTTACAGGGGGATGAACTGTTTCCTGGGCGAGCACAGGTAACTTCCTGGAGTCTCGGCTGGATGCTGGGCATCTGCTCAGAACCAACAGTCCCACTTCTGTGTCTGTTAAATTAAACAGTACATGATGTGCTAAATGCTGCTGGTAGGTGGGTTTTGTTAAATCTGCAGAGACAGGCTACCTGTCCCCCATTATACAGTCTGTATGCTAAGCTAAGCTAACTGGTTGTCGGCTGAGATCTTAAGCCCTGATTTTACTACCTTGCAGATGTGCATCACGTCACATGCCAGCTGCCGTCACCCACAGATGCAAAGTTGCTGTTATTAGGTCACTTTCTACGTCCTTAAGTAAACGAGAACCTGCTGGTGTCCGTGTGATGGAAATTTTATCATCTCACTAAGTCAGCAAGAGTCGGCGCAGGCCTTGGTCCAAAATGTGTGTCTACGCAGTGACTACACCACAGGGCCACCAGTGCACATGCTCAGCAGTGGTGTGTATGCACAGAATATGCAGATATGACCTCCTGTGCACGTAAGGGACAGAGTCCTCCGAGCAAACTTCCACAGCTTAGACAAATATTACAATCACAACAACTATGTGTCCGTGGGTGTCCGCAGCCGTCCTCAGCTGTCTGTTTTTGTGTCCACAAGGGAGCATAATCAAGGCTTTATACCACTTTTCTAGCCAGTGGGAGTCCACTTGGAAGACTGTTCAACATCGAGCATGCACACTAGTGCCCTCGTTGCATGGTTGCAGACATTTGTAGACCTACGGAGATGACAAAATGTACATCACATGGCCCCTCGCGTACGGGGGCACCGCGAGTTCAGTACCAGCCTGACATATAACGAACATGTGAGAGGTGGGAGCTATCTTTATCATCTTTCTCCTTTAATCCATTCTCCCGTCGTGCTCTGCAGGCATTTCCAGCCTCTCTTCTCACACCCTCTCTTTCTCTCTGGTCTTTGCAGCCTGTTGAAAGGAGACTAGCAAACCAATTGTTTGCCATCTGTGACTGGTCATAGTTTCAGAGAGGGAAGCCCTATTCACTGTTCCTCCCTCACCCCCTTCCTGCCGTTCTCCCAACCTCCTCCCCCCGTGACACAGCCAATAGGTTGGTCGTCTGCAGCGTCATTGATCCGTGGGTCACCGTGGTGACGGGCTGACTTCAAGGCACGGGCCAGTTACCAGCTGTGTGTGTGTGTGTGTGTGTGTGTGTGTGTGTGTGTGTGTGTGTGCGTCGTGCCTGCCAGCTGGTCAGTTCGTGCTACGATTGGATTAGCTTCCATTTTGCGTCCCTAATGGATCCTTAACTCCATCCCCCCACTTCTTAAATGCACACACTCTCACATCCAGCTCCTTGGCCACGCCCCACTGTGACATCCTGACTAGTTTATTATAACATCCATCCAAACTTTATGTGTGATCACTCCATGAAACTCCTCGTGATTCTCTGGTGCGTTTGCAGCAGCATGACAGCAGTCCAGACTATAAAGTACATGTTGTTGTGAGGGTCTCTGCCATTAGTTGACTCACTGCGACGGCACTTCCTGTTTCACAGCTTTGTCACAGCTTTGTTCGTCCTTCTCGGGCTACTGGCAAGAAACTCTACAACAAATGTGATTTGTCGATACTGGCTGCAGACTAATGCACAACGTCTTAAGCTAATAATCAAATTTAAAGCCTGGTAGACGTATCTCTCTGCTCTTTTAGGACCTTATGCTGAGAATGACTAAATGTGATCAGGAGCATAGCTTGAGGAGTCTAACCCAGTTTCCAGACGTATTTGTGAGCCAGAGGATGCCTCTCTGTAATGGCTGAACTGATTTACCAACCACATGCAGCGCTTTGGGCCGTGCTGTTTCTCTGAATGTGTTTTCTATTCCTCTTCAACACGTTCTTTGTCCTCTTTTTTTTTTGATTACCACTTCCTCTCTTCTTCCTGTCGCTCTGGCCTCTTATTGGCCCAGAGTGGAAGCTGAGGTGCCTTTTAAGGGTGTCAGATTTTGCTCAGGTGTTGTGCAAATCGATGACAAAGCTGCTAGCATCACTTCAACCATTCATGGAGAAATGTCAGCCATGCTTATGTGCTTTGCTGTGATAGTTCTGTGATCTCTTTTGGACTTAAACACATAAACATGATGTCAGATGTGAAACAAGGTGCATGAAGAAACTCTGACGGTAGTGACGTTTCTGCATGTGCAGAATGGGAGGAACATATCAAGTCTTCATCGCCACTGCTCACGCTAAGAAGACTGACAGACTTATCTATCTCTGTATCTAATTCTATCTCCCACTCACACACACACACTCACACACACACACACACCTACACACACACACACACACACACACACACACACACACACTCCTTATTCACCCCCTGCATAGTGGTGGACCCAGGGAGGCTTATCTCTCCTCTGCCATCTGTCTCTGTCTGGTGGGAGGGCTCCTCTTCTCTCATTGGCTCATTCGCAAGCTACCAGCCGTCTGATTGGCTCGTTTGGGAGTTGCGAGCCTCTGATTGGCCGCGGCCGTGCTCTCACTTCCTGATCTTCCTTATTGCATTGCTGCCCCCTCAGCTAGTGAGAGAGGTCAGCCACCTACACACCCATGCTCTTTGGTCCGCAGTCAGCTCTGTTTGCACGTTTCTTATGTAACGTTAGACGTCCGTCGTGCCTCGCTGCCTTTTTTTTTTTAATGCCAGTATTTCTTCATTCCTCTCATATCTTTTCATATCGCTGTGTCATTCTGTGTCACGTACTTCTTCTGTGTGTGTTCTTATTTTGACAAGCTCCCATCAGGAGTCCACCACTAATTACAGTATTAGAAAATATGCACCAACAGAGGAGTTTTAGCAGCCAGTCGACCCCTGCTGTACACATCTCCTCCCTCTTTTCTGCATAGTAACCAACACCACCTTCTCCATTTGCCACCAGAAACACACAGCTTGAGAGCAGCAGCGTGCCCCCCGAACTGCTGAGTAAAGTTTGCATGCGCTGCTTTGTTGTATTGTAACACCTCTTTCTGTCTTTTTGTTGTTGTTGTTTTGAGCCAGCAGGCAGGTTTGTGTGTGTGTGTGTGTGTGTGTGTGTGTGTGTGTCCGTGCTTGTGGGCTCCATTGTTTTGCACAGGGCGATGCTGTTCATTTCTGTTTGCAGTTCCCACCCTTCTCCTCTCTCAGGCTCGCCGTTTGAATGAGCTGCCTGCCCTGCGCCGATTGGCTGTCGCTGGCTGCCATATAAGGGCATAGGCCAGCAGCAGAGGCAGGAAGTAGGGTAAGGAGGAAGTGGAGAGCCGGCTGTCAGAGACCGGCAGCAGAATGTGCAGCCCATAGAGGATTCATGAGAAGCTGCCACACCTTTCCTTCGATCCTTCTCCATCTTTGTATTTCAGTTCCTAGCACAGCAGCTCTCCATTTATGACACACTTATCTCCTCTCCCTCGCTGCCTTTATGGCTCTCATTAGTCTCTTTCATCTGCAGTTTTTTCCCTTTCCTCTCAGTCCTGACTTAGCATCCCTTTCTGATTAGCACACTCAGACATGTGTGTCAGGGATCGGTAGTACCTGCTGTACTCAACAGTACGGTGGAAATGCGTGACTGGAAGCCTCTTAATGAGCCGCTGCGGCGATCCTTCGGCTTAGTGCAGCGTCGTAGCTTTGCTCTACAGCCCAGGGTCGGACAAAGTCCACCGGCAGCTATGCAGCAGCAGGACATGGTGCTGTTGTGCAGCACATTGTTATATGAGAGCACAGTGATGTAATGTGAGGGAGAGCGATGTGTTCTGCTGTCAGGATCCCAAAATCCAAAAGAGATCCAGGCAGAAGGAGAGGTGACGGGAAGATTATGATACATGAGCTCTGGTGAAGACAGAGAAGTGTCCTGCTCTGGCATCATATGCATCATAATGAGAGCATATTCAGAATCTGGGGTGGCTTCCTGTGACTACAGCAGCTTTATAGGATGCAAAGATCAAGTCCTGCATTTTGGCAACGCTTTGGGAGTTGACAGTCAGGTTTAAACATGCTGGGCATGTCATGGGCTGTACTATGTGGCAGTTTGAACCTTAATCTGAAAAATCTTCCACTCCTGTCCACAGCTCTGCTACCAGCTGTTCTGGTTTGTCTTTTACAGAGAGAGTGCAAACTGAAGCCTGATCATAAACCAATAAACTGCACCAACACCTGAAGCTGATTGGCTGAGAGACACTAATGATGGGTAAGCAGAACCTGTATCTCTGGGTGTTGTAACAGGTTTTTTTTTTTCACATTTCATTTCCCCTTCTGCAATATAACACTGGCATTATTTAGTAGTTCCCAGATGTCCCCTATGTTTTCCCCAGTTCCAGCACATCCAGTGTTGTGATCCAACATCATGTAGCAGCAGCTCAGACTGCTGCTCGTACCTGAGAGGTGGCTTCAGCTGAGAGAGAGTGACAGCGCTGCCGGTCCTCTTTTATAACTGCTTCAGCCCTTCTTTCTGGAGGCTGATTGTGTTTGAGATGACAGGACTGTGTGAGGTGTCAGGATGTGCTGTTGTGTGCACTCTTTGTTTGTGTGTTGTGTGTGTATATTTGTAGATCTGAGTGTGTATTAGTGAGGCCACGCCCTCTTGTTAACACTGCCATCCATAAAAGGAGATCTTTAAGTTTGTCACATGACAACAATCTGAGGAATGCGAGATCGGTCACATGGGATACCATCTTAAGGAAATCAGCTTCACCCCCTGAGGACTAGGAAACTTCTGTGTGTGTGTGTGTGTGTGTGTGTGTGTGTGTGTGTGTGTGTGTGTGTGTGTTTTATGAGCTTGGGGACAGTGATCGTCTTATCAGTGTGTCTGTGGCGACCGTTGTGTAGTTTTGGGAGTTTGTCAGAGTCTCTGTGTTTGTTTGGGTGATTTTGCGATTTCAGGGGAATTCACAGCTCGAGAGATTTCACTTCTCGTTCAGTTGTGTATCAGTGACTGGAAACTGCAGCGGAGGACGTTCTAGTTTCCTCCTCTGTCAGAAGGAGAACAAGCCTGAGCCCGTGAGCGTTTGTCAGTCATTTAAGTACAAAGGTCGGAGAGTTCAAACTCATCAGGATCAAATCAGAGACGTGTCTTTGAATCATTAGAACACATCATAATTAAAGCCTCTGATTCTTCTCTACTGAATCCTGGTGTTGATGAAGACTGGACTTTATGCACCGATCAGCCGCCACATAAAGAATCCACCTGCCCAGTTCTGTGTAGGCCCCTCTGGTGCTGCCAAAGCCGCTCTGACCCGTCGGGCCATGGACACAGGACCTCTGAAGGTGTCCTGTGGTGTTTGGCACAAGGACCTTGGCAGCAGACCCTCCAGGTCCTGTGGGCTGCGGGGCGGGGCCGACGTGGACTGGGCTCGTTCCAGTGCATATGTTTGCTCTGTAGGATGTGGGCAGTTGGGAGGCCTGGTCAGAGCCTCGGTTCTTGTGCCGTTACTTACGAGTTGTTTGGGAGTGAAAGCCACATGAATGCCAGGATTCCCAACAGAACATGACATTATGACAAACTGTCAGTGGTTTTAATATTGTGGCGGATCGGTTTATTGTGTGTAATTGTGTAAATGCAGAAATGAAAATCAGCACTCACACCACTTCCTAAAGCTGAAGCTGCTGTGTGGGCTGCAGCTACCGCTGCTCTGTAGTGCCTCCTGCAGCTACCGAGCCTCCACTTAAACCACAAGATTGTCACTTTTTTTTTTGCTGCAGACAGAAAGGGACTTCCTCATTTTTTCTCTACAGGGCACCATATAAGGCAAACATTTGACAGGTAGACTCAGAGCTGCCACCAGACGAGTTCAGCTGCTGACACTGATGCCGTATCGAAGGCTGAAGGCTGTAAACCGCCTGGTATCTTCTGCACGTTAGTCATCATGAGGGCAGGAAATTTGGGCAACAGTGTGGTGATGCTGTTCAGCTGACATCAGCATTGTGTTTTTCTGAACTGAACAAACAGCACAAGGGAGTCCATTTAAATCCTCCTGAGTTGAGAATTTTCATATCCAGGCTGCATAACTGGGCCGCCCTGTCTGATGCCATTTCCATGGTTTTGTCACAGCAATCATCTTAAAAATATATTTGTCTGAAGCTGTGTTAAGGCTTGAGGGCCTCTCCACAGCCACAGTGGCTCTCTGAGGATACACCTGATGCTTCGAGCTAAAGATGCTAACATGCTAACAGCTGGATAGTAAGGAGGTGTAATGTTAGCATCATGAGGAGGTGTGTTAGCATGCCATGCTAGCCACTCACCACTAAACACAGCAGGATGTATGGCTGAGGCTAACTGACATGCTACTAGTGTTGCAGGTGTTTGGTCATATTTAAGATTAGAAATGTTTCGTGGACATTAAGGCTGCTATATAATATACATAAATCATATGCATGTGTAGGCTCCAGCCCCCTCTACAGGATAGTAGATGGATGGATCAGACATGCAGGAGATGCTGAGTGTAAACTGCACTAAAACAGTCATTCAGGGCTTATGATTGCCTGTAAAACAATCCAAATAATCCATCAAATATTTTAAACATTCCCTTCGTGAGCACAACACAACGTAAATATTAAAATGTGTGTTACATATAACAGAAGTCTGACTGAACCCAGTGCACTTGGTCCTGTGAACCCTTATCATCTGAGGAATGTGCTGTGCATCCCCGTCCTGCCGGAAGTTTAGAAACAGATTCTAATTCCAGCTTTCTGACATCTCCTGGTGGTTTGTTTCTCTGAGCATGACCTCCGAGGCTCTGACTCAGCTCCACACATCGCTCCAAAGGTGACGCCTGGAAGAGCGAAGGAGAACATTTTGTGGTGCTGAAAATGAGAACGAAGAGGCCGACAGAGCCAGGAAAAGTGCAGACAGGGATAAACAGTCTGATACATTCATGATCCTGCTCTGATTCAGACATTCCTCTTTCCCATCACCACCTCTCCTCCTCCTCCTCCTCCTCCTCCTCCTCCTCCCACCGCCCTCCCTGGCCGACCACACAGCAGAGGGACTACCTCATGCTGCTGCAGCACCGGGTCCATACATCACAGAGGAAACACGGAGATGTGATGGAGCAGCCAGACGAAGCCACATTTCACCTCTTCTCTGTCCTTTTATTCATCTTTCTGATGTCATTCACTTACTTTCTCTTCTCTGAGACTTCAGTGTGTTCCTCAGGCAGAGCGGTTAACTGCACCGAGTGTGTGTGTGTGTGTGTGTGTGTGTGGAGGTTAACAAGCCTGTTTGGCAGTGTGTCCACATTAAACACCCCTCCCTCTGGCTGCAGACCTTCTCCTCACCCTCTGGATCGTTGCAGCGAGCAGGAGACTTACACAAAGCCGTGGCCTACTTGCACTTCTGTTTCTGCATTCTGCTCTGTGCACTTGTTGGCTTTGTGTCGAGAGGTTAACGTGGTAAACACTTACAGAGCTGTGTGTTAATGGAGGAGGTGAAGGAGAACCGAGAGAGAAGGGAGGAGGTTTTTGTGAGTGCTGTACATGCCTGCATAGCTGCATGTGTGTGTACAGCTGAACACTTGGTATTCCCTGAGCAGAGGGGGCCTACATTTTGTCAAACCCTGAAATGTAGGTCAAGAGGCACAGAGTTTTCCTTGCGCTGTTGCATAACCGACGAACGCACGCGCACACACATGTGTACATAATTGTGTAGCTCTGGATCCTGCACAACCAGGATACGCAGCCTCAGCCGGGATGACTGCTGATGTGCAGGCAAGAAATCCAGCGTAAGCAACTGCAGAGCGCCCTGTGAAAAATACATTCAGAGCTTCTTCTTCTTTTTTTTTTTTACTGTTGCCACACTGCTGATATGAAAATATGCAGTGTGGGTGTTTAGGTGTGTGCTTTATGTCCAGATATGGCCTCAGCAGACACAGAACAGAGAGATTAGGTTTTTACAGGCAGGATACTCCCTGCACAGCCATTGGCTGAAGGCTGCAGGTAATCACCCCTGGACTGGATTGCCTTTAAAGGAAGCTCTGGTGACATACCTGTAAATCCCTCAATCACCTGTTAGCTTCCTCTCTCACTCCCTTTCTATTTTATTTCTTTCTCTCCCTTTTATCCTTTTTGTCTCTCTTTTAAAAAAACAAAAACCTCTGCAAAAAATCTTCTGTTGCTCAGTTTATCTCGCTTTTTGTGTCTCTTTTGTGTCACAACAACAGGACAATAGAAGGAGGAGGAAGTGGAGGAAGGCGGAGGAGGAGATGGAGGACCGAGAGAAGGGGGAGTTACACCTTTCTTGGCTCATCTGATTGTAAGCTGATAACCTGGAACGTACTACCAGGCTGTTACATAAGGGATAGGAGACACCCTGAGAGACTGTGTGTGTGTGTGTGTGTGTGTGTGTGTGTGTGTGTGTGTGTGCAAGCAGCAGTCCCGTTTCTGTCTTGTTTTCCTTGTTTCTTTGGTAACAGATAACTGGGTTAGTCACACTGCTGTTTTTTCTTTTTTAATGTGAAAGAATTTGCTTGTAACTCTGTGTGTGTGTGTGTGTGTGTGTGTGTGTGTGCGTGTGTGCGTGTGTTTTGTGCATGTGAAGAGACCACATTGTAGTTGAGAGAGGAAATGGAACATGTTGAGTGTCCTGGCTGTAATTCATTTTCCTTATCCTGACCTAATTTCACATAGACGACCATGTGCAAAGCAGTCAGTTGTTCTAGCCGACAAACATGTCACGTCTTGTAAAACACACGTTGGCAGCAGCGTTGCTGGTTGCATACATGAGGAAAAGGGTGGAATTTCCCTAAAAGTCCCTTTAATCCCCGTCGTGGTCTCTTTCTGTGTTTTAGGGGAACGCTGTGTCGTATTTCACTTTGACTGAAGCTTCCTGAACAATCAGGGATGGACATGAAGGGGCTTTTACTGTAAACGGGGGCATTGACGGCAACACAGCTCCACAATATGAGATGTTCTGATAAAGTCCAGGAGCTGACATTACAGGAAACATGCAGATATGATGGTTTGCAATTCGTTTCATGTCTTTGGTGAAAACCTGGCGTGGCAGCTCAAAAATAACCAAAATACCAGAATGTGCTCGAGGTTTTCACAGGGACTGTTTCATAGTGTTTTACACCTGAAGCCGGGTTGTGGACCGTGTGATCTGGGGGTGAGAACAAATACCTGGAACTCCACACCGCTCGTTTGGATGTGGGAAAGCCTCTCGGGTGGAAAAAACAAAAGTTGTCTGCTGCTGAAGCGTTGAGGATTTCTCATGACCTGGATAACTGAGAGTCTACACAGACGTGTGGGTTACATCAGAACCAGGACTAATGGACTGAAAACAGCTTCTTTCCAGCTGCTGTCAGAGACATAGACGCCTCCATGTTGTAATAAGTGCAATATGTTGTTAATGTACAACTGCCACTACCTCTGTGCAATATACACTGTGCTTATTATTTAATTCATCTTTTTACATAGTTTTATATTGTATACGGTTGTTTACAAAGTTTTTATATGTTTTTTTGCACTGAAAGGCTTCACCTTGCTCTTTGTTGTACTCGTTGCAATAACAATAAAAACAAATCTGAATCTTTGGGGCAGCAGCGTGGATTCCTAACATATATATTAAACTAGTTTTCCCACCACAAATGCCTCTTCAGCTCATTCAGCAGGAAGAAGCAGAACTCAAACGTGAGATATTTATTCAGCGTTTGTGTGAAGTTTTACTACTTTTAGCACTTTTAGTTTTTATTTGTTTGCTGTATCAGAGCTGGGAGGTACCATGATATCATATAAACACAATATTTAGTGGGTTTGAAGAATAAAGTTCCAGTAAACAAAGAACCAGTCATTTGTTCACATTACATCCAGTCAGTAAAAACGATAAATCAGTCATCAGTTCTGGATCATCAGCTTTAGATGCAGATATGAATGATGTGAGATATGAAAGCTGCATGTAGAACAAAGCTGTGTTCTGCTCCCTGTGTTGTGCTGGATCGGTGTGTTTACTGGGCCGGAACCAGTGTGCCCTGTGGTTTGGTCAGCGAGTCCGGCTCATCTGTGGGTTTAGTAAGAAGGCCATCTGTGCCAGATGTTAATGATCCCCCCCGTGTGTGTGTGTGTGTGTGTGTGTGTGTGTGTCAGCAGATGGTGTGTGTCCGTCACACACATGCTGTCCTTTATTATCAGTTCCCACTCATTAATTATTCACACCGAGACACTGAAACCAATTAAATATAAAAAAAAACCAACAACAACAAAAAACATTTCCTGTAAAGTCTGTCAGAGCAGATGCACGATCATCCAGAACTCCAGAAATATGTAGTTGTTGAAAAAACAAACAGAAACAGTGCGTCTGTTTTATACATGAGTGTGTGAAGTTTATGCATCTGTGTGCAGAACAGAGCCGGAGTGGCCGAATCTTTGAGTCTTTCAGGGGGTCTGTGTAACAAGAGGCCAGCCGGGAACAGCTGGTGTGTGTGTGTGTGTGTGACTGGTGTGTGTGTGTGTGACTAGTGTGTGTGTGTGTGACTGGTGTGTGTGTGTGTGACTGGTGTGTGTGCTCAAAGAGGCTCTCTAAAGAGGCTTCCAGCCCCTTTGTTGCAAGAAGGGATATGATTAGCATCTCCTCATAGCAGCTCCTCGTGGAAGAAGAAAGACACACACGGGGGATACAGCAGGAAAGTGGTGGCAATGGCAGGCAACACCTGCAAGTCCGAGTGTGTGTGTGTGTGTGGGTGTGTGTGTGTGTGTGTGTGTGTGTGTGTCCATCCGTCCGCTGAGAGAACACATATGCTGCTCTCAGTGTGCATCTGTGGACATGTGACCGTGGAATCAATTTGTAAGTGGGTCTGGCTGGTGTAGTGTGCCGCTGCGGCCAGTTGGTGGAGCTACAGAGCTCCTTTAGACTCCATCAGTGAGACTGACTGACTGGCAGCAGACTGCTGATGATGTTCAGTGTACAAACTAAATCAGGATTCAGAGGTCAAGAAGTAAAAAAACAACAACAGGCATGTTGTAATAAATCAGTTAAAATGATGTGTGACTGAAGTTAAGCCCTAAATTATTCATACTGGGGCATAATTTTGATCTACAGTCAATCTTTATTCTACCAGGAGGTTCCTTCTGGCAGGAAATGACACAAACAAGTGACAAAATGCAGCTTCTTTACCACTGAAAGAATCTAGTGTCTGCAATCCTGTGTTTTTCTATAATTAGTGCTCATGTATGTCTTTGTTTATTTTTATTTTTGCAGTACATTTCCTAAATGTTTGCACTATATTTACTGCTGTAGCTTTGTAAATGTCCCCACTGTGGGATTAATACAGGCTTATCTTATTCCAAATAATCGCAGTAGTTTCCAACATGTTACTATGAAGTGAGAAGAGCCAAAGTCACGACTGAAACCTAAGAGAAGCTCATGTGGCTCGGATACGACTGTAAAGTGGGTGTTCTCAGTGGAAATCATATTCAGACAGAACATCTCAGTGGTCATGGTCGGTGGCTCAGAGTGGCTCCTGCGCTGGTCAGAATGGTAAAACAGAGGCCAAGACCGTCCCGGTACCAACGTCCTGGTACCAGACAGCGAACAAGGCTGGTCTCCGTGGATGCTGACCGAGGGGAACACTTACCCAACACAGACACACAAAGCTCACCGAAAAGCTTTCTGTCATCAGAATGAGATGAAAAAGGAGTCGCATGGACACAGGAATGCGTTTCACAGCAGAGGATGGAGCAGACAGACGTTCAGCACCAGCACCGGTAGACATGGGGGCGGGGATGTGATGCTCTGGGGGTGTCTTCAGGCAGCCATGTGTGTTATTAGCTAGCTCCTCGCTAACGACCGCTAATTCTGCTCTGCTGCACAGAAATGGTGGAAAAATACAAAAATGTGCTGCAGCTTTAGAGATGATACGATTGTTTATTCATTTATTTTTAGAGGTTTAAGCAACACTGTTTACTGCCTCAGAGATCAGAGAACATACACAAGGTGTTAAGAAAAGGAAGGAAATTAGTCAGGAAGGAGTGATACGGACCAGAGTGCTCATTCATGAGGGCGGGATGTGAAGTCACAGGCTCTCATTCAGACACAGGAAGAGGTATTTTTAGTGGGGGCCTGATCGGGTTTCAGAGGACCCAGATCAGTCCCTGCAATCAAACCCGCAGGCAGCCGACGGCTCCTTGTGACCTTGAGAGGTAAATCATCAGCTTGTTTGGCGGCGTGTCTGCTGAGATGGGGGGAGGAGGGATGGGGAAGCTGAACATGAGATGATGTGACACGTAAAGCTGACCGTCATGGTAGCAGACACACTGTCACACACACACACACACACACACATATACATACAGACACAAACACACACCCCACGGAGCCCCAGTCGTGGCCCGGCGCTCTGTGTTTCCTGACTGACCTATATCTTTCTGTCACACACACACACACACACACACACACACACACACACACANACACACACACACAGCGCTACACACACTTCATAATGTGTTAAACAGAGGGAGAAGCTATGAGGCTGCTTTGCTGATCTTGGCCCGACTTCTTTGCTGTCGCCATGACAATAAGAGGCTGCAGGAGATGGAGGCACCCCAAAGCACACACACACACACACACACACACACACACACACACACACATGCTGACCCCTGACCTGACCGCTGTGCTGGAGAATGGAGGCGGAGGCGAGGAGGGGAGCGCTCGGTGTCCCCCGGTGGCTTCCAGCTCTTTGTTGGTGCAGAGGAGGTCCTTGGCGAGGCGGCAGCTGTGCGCACACACTCACGAGCAAACACACACAAATTCCTCGGCGGTTTGGAGACACTCGCTCAAACAGCCGCTTTCTGAAGCATCTTCAGAAATGATCTCTGTGTAGGACTTCCTGTTTGGCACAAGTGTTACTGTAATAGGTTTCAAGATGAAACCAGAAATGTCCGTTTGTGTGTTGAAGCTAAAAGAAAACTTGGAGGGATTCATCGTCTGGGGACCATGACAGAAGTTTTAAAAACCAAATCCACAGATTAGAATCAGCAGAACTGGAGTGACATCAAATCAAATCAAACCCAGTTTATTGTCATTCTGCTCTACATACACAGCAGCACAAATAGTTTAAATAAACAAGTGTGTGCATCTCTGGATCAGCAGCTCAGCATTCTGACAGCTGGTGGCATGAAGCTGTTGATCAGTCTGGAGGTTCTTCCTTCAACGCTCCGGAAACGTTTTCCTGATGGCAGCATGTCAAACAGTTCATGGAGAGGGTGTGAGGAGTCCCTGATGATGCTCAGAGTCCTGCTCCTCTGGCGAAGTTCTTATACAGAGGGGAAGGAAACGCCAGTGACCCTCTCAGCTCCTCTAACTGTCCTCTGCAGAGGATAGTTAGAGGAGCTGAGAGGCTCACCGGAGCTCCCTTCTGCTCCCTTTTTCAAACATCATCTGCTATACAAATACATTTTTTATCTCGTTAACGTGTCCATGTGGTGTGTTTATATGCTGGAAGATGATGAGGAGGGAAACAAGCGGTCCACAGCATGGCGGAGCATCTCCACCTTAAAGCTGTAGAACTGCACTTGCTGCTTCCCTCAAACATTTACATCTACATAAAACAGAGCTGCACTGATTCTGTGTCTTCTCCTGCAGGAAGCACGTCATTGCTTCAGGTAGTGATAATAAAGAGATGCACACCTGTTGATGAGAATATAGCAACTCTATAATTACATTCATCTGATTTTGTTAATCCAGGCAAGTAGGTGCACATTTCTCTACGTTCTCTAATTGTTCTTTGCAGGAGGAAGTGCTTCATCTGTAAAGGAGAGCAGATGTGGTCTCAGCCCAGAGGCGGCAGATTGGAGCCTGTTGCACGTCAACACTTTGCACGTTTGTTGCAATGAAATCCTGTCTCTGTTAGTAATAGCTGGTAAATGCATTGCTTTGCTCTTGTACCGCACTTCATCCTTCTGCTTAGGATAAACCTCAGGACCTGCAGCGTGTTGTTTACCACCCACTCCTCTCCACTGCAGCCAGGGCTTCACTGCTCTTTCCCGAGGAGGCATTTTAAAGCTCAGTCTGATGGCTGTTGCTGTAACGGCGGTACGAGGAGGAGGAGCATCAGCAGGGCTGTGCAGAAGCCACTGGGTCCTATGACGGCACCCGTCTGTCCTCAAAATGGTCATGCCCTGAATTATGCAGCATGTTAAGACTTAATGCAGCTTTAACTGTTCGGTTGTCATAAACAGGGAAGACAAGCTTCACAGACCTAAACCGGTTTCTGCATTTATGCTGTAAACATGTTTGTTTCTGCTGGACATGGGGTGGTTCTAGCTGGTCCATGAGCTTTTTAGGAATGCAGTAAAATTAGATTAATAGAGGCCTGCTTGAAATTAAAGTTTAACTCAGATAAGACCGGAAATGTCTCTCATGAAAGAACGTGGGTTTGATCCCTCTCTCAGTGTCTGGCTTTAGACTGTAGGTTCAGACAACACTTAGGTTTCTAGTTTTGATTTGTACATAAATTAAATAGACGGCAGCTTATGAAGTGGTCCATTAACCACTGAGCGCTAATTGGGTTCAGCTCTTATGGACATTTTTGAG